TTTTTTGACATTTTTACCCTTATTCTCATATTATATTGCAAGAAATCATCATTTTTATCCATTTTTTCAATAAAAAATTTTGTAAAATGGTGAATATAACCTCTTATTTAAATAAAAAAATTTTAAAAATAAAGAACAAATTGCAACTATATTCCAAAATTTTCAAAAAAAAAAAAAGTACAAATAAATTATAAATAAATAATTAGAAAAAGAAAGTGACTTTTCAAAATTTTTGTTTTAAATTATTTATTTGTACTTTTTTGAAAAATATGAGAGTATAAATGCAATTTGTTCTTTATTTTTCTTTTCCTTATTTTTGTTATTTAAATAGAAATGTATATTTATCATTTTAAAGCTTTTTATTGAGAAAATGGATGATAATGATAATTTTCACAATGTAATGTGACAATAAGTATCAAATGTAAAAAAAATGAAAGGTATGGTTATTTTGCACAGTAATATTGAAATGTGTGAATGTTGTGTGTCAATTACTCTTTTAATAATTTATTTAAACTCATTTCTAATTTTTAAAAAAGTTTGGGAGTATAATTGCAATTTTTTCTTTAATTTTTCTTTTAATTTTTTTTGTTTTATTTAAATGGTAGGATATATTTGTCATTTTATATTTTTATTGAAAAATTGGACGACTTTTTTTTTCGTAATGTTATATGAAAATAGGGGTGAAAATGTTAAAAAATAAAAGATAAGGATGTTTTGTACAATAAAATTAAAGGATAAGGACGTTTTGTACTAATTACCATTTTATATAAAGCTGAAGTTGCATTGTAAAAAGTAGATAGTGATGGATAAATTACAGAAAAGCTACTTGGACAGGAATTCATGACAAGATTTCTTGACAGGTACTACATGTCATCATCTGTATGGATCTCTTTTTTTATTTATTTTTTTTCAAACTATCAAATGAATGGTTGACACATATGCCTTTTTTTTTTTTTTTTTTTAATTTCTGTCAATTATCCCTGTTTGTGTAGCTAGCTTCGATAAATTAACTTGACATTTTGTACGACGTGATTGAATTGACTTAAATCCTGTATTTTTTTAATTCTTTTTTCTAATTTGCCGTTATTCTGTATGTTTCATGTATGTACAAAAGTTGATAAAAATTTGTCTCGTCTTAGTTGCAACATGACAAATTTAAAAAGCTTTTAGGGTACATTTTAATACTTTCGACAATCCCTTTTTAGTCCAAAAATTGTTGAAAATAAGTTAGATGTATTCTATTTATAGTAATTTGATTAAAGCCTTCTAAAATTATGTAATGAATTCATCAAATTATTTCGGAATGATCAAAATGATTAAAGTTATTTGTTAAAAAAAAAAAATTTTTTTGTCAAACTTAAATTGGGATGAGATGCCATTCCAAATAAGTCGCCAGAAAAGACGTCTTATGGGGACGGCAGCAGGAAGGCAAAAATATTTTAGAGGAAATTTTACAAAATGTCCATTTTTATCTATTCATTTACAAAAATATATAATTTGAAAGAATTTAAACCAAAATATCATTATTAACAATTTATAATTTCACACTATGACAAAAAAATGTGTATTTTTACAATATTGTTATTGATCAATAAAATTTTGACACATAACCTACCATATTTATTTCAAAAAGTATACATGTCAAATCACAATAAATTCTATATTTTTCATTGATTTAGAAATGTCGAGAACGATATTTTTAAATGTAGAGAAATGTCATATTCAAAATGAAATGTCATTCTAGACAAATAAAACGATGCTCAAATGTCGAGAATGAAATATAAAATGTCGAGAAATATTATTTTAATATAACATTTCATAAAAGTCACTTCTCAAAATTCGTGACAAATTGATTAAAAAATCAAATGTCGAGGACGATATTTAAAATGTTGAGAATATCATTTAAAAATGTAACTTTTCATTAAGGGTGTAATAGATAAATTGACACTAAATTCAAATGAATTGATATTTTTCAACTCATACCCTTAAAATTGGACATTCTTAAAAATGTTGGACACAAGTTACAGGCTGACTTTTCCTTGAAAGTAGTCCTCTCAAGTTCCAATGTGATTAGAATTCCATTTTTGCCCTTTAATTTTTATTATTATACGTCCACGTTGGTGGAGCTAATTTAACAAAATGGTTACTGAAATTCAAGTAAAATTTCAAATTGGTCATCCAGTAATTTGGTAACCGTTTAGTCACTGAAGTTAATAATATTATGTAATTGATCACTTTTTTAGTTGTATACACGCAAAATCTACCTTTGACCCATTAAACATTGACTAATCATCATTACGTTCATGTCTTGAAATTACAGATCTTCAAAATCATAAGTATTCTTATGAGAAAATACATTATGTTTAACTAAAAAATTCATATCGCTGCCACTAATTCTAACCTTATTTTTATCATTATTTGAGTACGAAGGAATTGATAATTTTGACGGCCTTTGTCTACTTGAAGGTTTAATAGCTACATAGTATTTTGTATTAATCAAGCGAATGGAATGACCAATTGTATAAAGTTTGTTAACTTCAGTAACTAAATAGATCGCATAAATATAATAATAAATTTGAAATTTTGCTTGAGCTTAAGTAACCGATAGTTAAATTAATTCTTTTTTTTTATAGGGATAACCACTTCGAATGTGACCATTTATATTAAGATTTCTAAGGGTTTTGGGTGTGCTAATAACTTCAAATACTTGGACCTTAAGAAAAATTTTAGGCCCTCCAAACATAGAAACTTTAGAAACACCTAATCATAAATCTAACACAATGAGAGAGGGCTAGGTGTCAATTTGAAAAATTATATTTAGTTTTTAATTATAATTTTTTTTTTTTTTTTAGTTTGTGTTTGACCCAACCTGACTCGGTTCCTCTAAAGCAAAATTGAAACAACTCGAACCAATATATTATAAAAATCGACCCATCCAACCAACTTGATTCGGTTTAATCAGATGCTCGATTAAATCTCGTTCGTACCTATGAGAAATTATTCCATCAAACACTCCTTTTGGACTACAAATAGCAACATGTAAATGCCCATCCCAAGGCAAGGAAATAATGTTGTGTTGAACTAGTTTGGCAAATTATGATTAAGATGAGAACATTGAACTATATGGATTTCATTTTGGTTATAACTTGTAAGTGTAGCTAGGCCATTGTTAAGGATATGTGTTTGCTTAAAAGTGCAAGTACACAGTGTCAAAGATTAATAGTAGTAATGAATTAGAGTCTAACGTTGATCCAGTGTGAATTGGGTACTTATAATAATAAAAAAAATTATTCTTAACTTAATTGAAGAAAAGTAGATCGTAAGAATTTCTATGATTTTAACTAAAAACTACTAAAAGCAATTAAATTTTATAACTAAGTAGACTCAAAAAAGTCTTTTAATATGAAAAAGCACTAGGACTCTAACTCGAACTATTTTTTCTACTTTTAATTCATATAACCGCGAAATTGATAATATTCTCTTACTTTGATAATTATGTTCCTAAATTATCTGACAATCTTTCTCGATTATGGTTGAATAAATTATTAAGTACAAATTCTCCATGTCTCTATGAGAACTAGGAAATGAAATAAAGAAATTAGTATAACCAAGCCTAATTAATGATGGCATAGCCTATAAGGATATATCTTTATCCCTATCGAGAATTCTTTTTTTTTGCTAAAACATGCATTTCACCTTTCGTTCTCGATGCGATTCTTAATTCAATCCTAATGTTGACTAGATAAAAGGAAAGCATAAAAATCAATAACAAATAATAAAGAACGAATGAAGTTTAAAGTAAAAACTGAATTATAGAAATAGTTTCAAAACAACGTTTACATTGCCCTCCTAACTATAGACATCTAGCCACTCCCACTCATACTGAAATTGTAAACACACAAAATGATATGAATATATTTGTAGGTTTCCTATAGAGAGAGAAAAAAGATGATAAAAACGAATCCCTTGCTAGCAACTAAAAGTTTCAAGCTTGCTCTTCTTCATTCTTTTTCAAGAATTCCACTTGCGAAGTACCAAGATGATTTGATATGTTTTTTATGTTGATGTTTAGGAGACTAGTATTTATATAAAGGATGGATTAACCTTTGTGTACAACAAGTCATATGTAGCATTAAGTTGACCTACAAGTACGTAAAATCGAAAAAAAATCGAGTGAGGGTTCAATTGTCTCACTTGAGCGGACATAGACTTCAATATGTTTCGTTTTTCTGGATTTACTTGTGCGGAGCTTTAGCTTGCTCGAGTGACATGCTTTGTTAGCTTGGTAGTCTAGATAAACAAGCACATAACTTTTGATAGATAATTCTAAATTAGGATTCACAAAATACGTTATACACTTGACTCAGTAAGGTTTCAAATGATATATTATATGCTTTCATAAAAATATATGTATCAAACTTGGCTATTTAATTTCTCCATGTATTTCGTGCATTGGTTTCCCATTTCTTTGTACTTTTCATTTCAAATCACTAATTTTTTTTCTCTTTTCATTTTCTTTCCACTTCAAGCCTTCAGGGCTCAACTTTTTAATTCATATATTCCTCTAGTATCATAATATTCTTTGGTTTTCTTTTCTCTATCTGCAATGTACTTGAAGCTCAAGTTTTCGTCTTACATAAACATATACAAAACACAAATAAATAGAAATTGACCTCAAATTTACAAATAAAAGTCTCGTTAATGGCCTAATAAGTGTAAAATTTGAGTGGAAGAACTAATAGAGAAAGAGCTCCATATCGATTTACAGCAATCAGAATGGTTTCCAACTTTGATAGTTGACAGTACAATTATAATAAGATTGAACTTGACTTGTTTCTTTTAAAGATCAAGGACTGACTTGTTATTTAAATATTTAAATATTTCTTATCTTTTATCATCCCACATTCTTTAGGGCCAATTTTGTAAAACAACAATTTGACCATTTAAAAAATCCAGCACATGCCATTTTATATGTCACCGACATTGATTCTCTCATATTTCACCCCGCAATTATAGTCCTCACAGCTACAGAAAACGAGGCAATGGCAGTATGTAGTAATATACTACAAACCTCCAACTTTTCCTCTGAAGATTCCATTCGCCACTCCATTATCGTACCAATGTCTCTCCAATTTTAAGAAAAAGTTAAAACACCTCAATAATGTTAATTCTTCAGACACTCTCAATTCACATTTTCTAGGATCCTACAACCAAAAAACAACCTTATTTCCCACTTTGTAATTGCTTATTTTCTTTCGTCTTTTCACTTATTTTGTTCAGTTTTGCTCTTGTTCCAGCTTCTGTTGGTGCTCTGAATCTTGAACCAGCTTTCTGGGCAGCCCTCATCTGCTATTTTTCATTTTCTCCAAGTTTTGTACTTCTACATCTGCTGTCAATGATATGGATCCTGAATCAGCTTTTTGAACAACCTCAGACGACAATTTGTTTCCATCTGTAGCTTATTTTTTGTGGGTCTTCCCTTCATGAAATTATAAGTCCATAGAATGCTGCAATTTGTTTTCATATTTTTGAGGGATTCAAGAAATATGTCATTTTCACCAAGTTTTGGGCTTTGATATTTTCTTGATGAAGTGAATATTGGATCTTGAATCAGCGTTTTGAACAACCTTGGACTAAAATTTGCTCTCATCTGCAGTTTCTTTTACGCGGGTCTTCAGAATTTGCAGTTTTTAGTGAAGTTATGTGCTTTTCTTCATGAAATTGTAAGTCCATGGAATGCTCAAGATTCTTTGCATTTCTCTGTTTTTCAGTGAATTTCTTGATTTTGGGAACTTATCAACTACAATCCTCCCAAACGCAAGTACTTTTGCAGCTAAGGAAGCAATTGGAGTACCCAAAACAGTTAGATTTATGGCTCAATACTAGAACAGATTTCTGTTATTTGTCGACTACTCAGGTGAACATAACTTGTGAAGACAATTTGGTTACTGGGATCTTAATCTTTGGTGATAAACAGAAAAGGATTGGTAATTTTAATGCATTTCGAGTGTCGAATCAAACTTTGTCACAAAATTTCTCCATGGATTCTCTCGTAACCACCTTGTCTAGGCTAAATGGATTGAAGTCTCTTAGTTTGGTATCTTTAGGCATTTGGGGTCCAATTTCTGATAAAATTCATAGATTGCAATCCCTTGAATACTTGGATTTGAGTTGGAATTTTCTGTATGGTTCTATTCCTCCAAAACTTTCGAGAATTGGTAACCTTCGGATTCTGAAATTCGATGGTAATCTCCTGAATGGAACCTTTCCTGATTGGTTCAATTCGTTTTCGAATTTTACTATTTTTAGTATGAGGAACAATCTTCTGAGTGGCTCATTGCCATCTTCAATACAAAGAATTACCTCTTTAACAGCGCTAGTTTTGTCAAATAATGCAATTTCTGGGAAGTTACCGGATCTTAGTAGCCTATCTAGCCTACAATGGCTCGACTTAAGTGAAAATATGTTCGAATCAGAACTTCCCAATATGCCGAAAGGACTGAAAGCAGTTCTGCTAAACAACAACTCCTTTTCTGGGATTATCCCTCAGCAGTATGATCAATTGCATCTGCTTCAGCAAATTGACCTTTCTTTCAATACCCTTGAAGGGACACCTCCTGCAGGACTTTTTTCATTGCCTGGTATTGTTTCCTTAAACTTATCTTCAAATATGTTGAGTGGATCGCTTCCAATGCACATGAGTTGTGGCAGTAAGCTTGACTCAGTCGATATCTCTAACAATAAATTGAGAGGTCTGCTGCCTTCCTGTTTGAGCTCTGCAATAAAAACTAGAGGTGTGAAATATGGAGGGAATTGCTTGTCGATTGATCTGAACCATCAGCATCCGGAAACTTATTGTGTAGAACAGCAAGAGAAGAAAAAATCTGAAGAGAAGAATTTGGGGACATTAATTGGTGTCATTGGTGGAATTATTGTTATTATGGGGCTTCTGGCCTATGGATTTCTTGTTTTATGCCGACAATATTGTCCTCGAGGAGCACCGGAGCAACATTTATTGCATAAATCAGTGCAAGATAACTCTGTCACGGGGTTCACTTCTGAGCTTTTAATGAATGCTAGTATGTTATTTGAAAACTTTCTTGACTACGGCAGTTTGTTCTACTTGATAAGCCTATTTAAGCTTCATTTTTCATTTTTATTAGGGTCTATTTCTGATGCAGCAAAGTTAGACTCACAAAGGACACAAGCGCATCGCCTATTTTCATTGGATGAGCTGAAGGCAGCCACAAACAATTTTGATAAGTCCACCTTGATGGGTGAAGGTTCGACTGGGAAGGTATAAACTTCTCTTGCTGCTATTTTCATAGTTATGATTTAGTGGCTTATTTGGCTAGGTGAAATGCTCGGTGCTGGATAGTAAATGAAAGAAGCAGTTAGTCTATGAAATGTATGCACAGTTAATTTCCAGTGAAATTTCCGATTATATGGCTGGATCCTTGTTCCCGGACAGAATGCTATTCTATGTTATAAATACACTGGCCTTTGGACTTATGTATCTCATGGCTTCTTTCCCAGATGTACAAAGGAAGACTTGGAAACGGGACTCCAGTATCCATACGGTGCCTGACTGTATCAAAAAGATATGCAGTTCGAAATCTCAAACTAAGACTCGATTTGCTGGCTAAGCTACGCCATCCTCATTTAGTTTGCCTCTTGGGGCACTGCATCGGGAACGAAGGAAAAGATGATTCTGATGTAAACAATGTCTACCTCATATACGAATATGTACCAAACGGGAATTATCAAGCTCGTCTTTTGGGTGAGGATAGCATTTATAAAAGAAGTTAGTTTTGGATATCATGTTAACTGCTAACCTTGTAATATTTTGAAGCTTTTAACTGGAAAAAATGAAGGCGAATATTGACATTATATGATCATCAACTGAAATCTTTCGTATTACTTATGCAGAAACTAATCCTGAGAATGTACTCGAATGGTCTGACAGATTGGCAATTCTAATTGGTGTTGCCGAGGCTGTGCATTTTCTTCACACTGAAATTATTCCCGGATTCTTCAATAATCGATTGAAGGCGAACAATATATTACTGAACGAACATCAGATGGGAAAGCTGAGTGATTATGGGTTGTCAATAGTAGTCCAAGAGATTGACGAGCATAAGGTATGTATTTAATGCAACACTTGTTTTGTAAGTTAGATTAGATGCTATTAAACAGTATTAAGAACCCCCCCCCCCCCTTTTTTCGCATTATCTACAGTTTAATATTGTAGGCCACTAACTATTCTTTCTGGTTTTCTTGGTTGTTAGGTGGAAGGAGACCTTGAATCATGGTACGAGTTCTCTCAGATATATGAATCATTGCAACAAGAGTAGATTAGTTTGCTATGATGTTGGCAGTGTTGAGTAACTGTTAAATTTTTCTGTTCTGGTGAAGTGTTCACAGGCAAATAAAGAGCATGGAGGATGATGTTTATAGCTTTGGATTGATATTACTCCAGTCGCTTATTGGTCCTTCATTCTCATCGAGAAACGAGACATTTTTGCTTAATGAGATGGTACTTAAAACTGATTTAATGTATAGCATAAGGGTAATCTGTATAGAACGACCTCAAAATCTAACATTGGGAACTGAAAGCTTGCGAGTATTCATAGCTGAGAATCTTTTTCTACTAGCATGTTTGGCTAAGCTTAAATTCACTTTTTAAGTAACTCTTGCCAAAAATATTTGGGTATGCCCTTTCCGAAAGGATACTTTTACCTTTTATTTAAGCTAAGCCAAATGTGGTCTTGGCCTAGTGAAATTCGTTTTCCCTTGTCTATTCCTTACGTTGTTTTCAGCTCTAATTTCCTGACCCGAATACTCGACATATGTTTACTAGCTTGTCCCACCAATCTGCATAGCCCTTATTGGATCTAAATATTAATTTCTACATTTTGCAGGTTTCTTTAGGTACTCTCGATGGCCAGAGGCGAATAGTCGACCCAACTGTACTTGCGTCTTGCTCACAAGAATCTCTATCAATTATCATATCCATAGCGAACAAATGCATATCGCCCGAATCCTCAACTCGTCCATCTTTTGAGGATGTTCTTTGGAACTTGCAGCATGCAGCTGAAGTTCAAGCAACTGCAGATGGAGAACAAAGATTTTGAATGCTTGTAATTCATTTTTAAATTTTTTAATTTCTTGTTTAGTGCATAAAATACCAGTTGATAATTTGTAAGTCTTCTTAATTTTTTTACTTTTTTATTTGCACATAATGGCTTCAAGGCCTTTGTTAAACATGTAAATGTCTGATGCCATTTTACCTGTTTTCATCTCAATCAATCCAATTTGTTGCAGTTCTAGATTTGTGCACAAGTTAGTGACTTCATTGGCTATTTTGGAAGTAACAGAAGAAATAATGAGCAAGATTTACGTGCTTCAATATTATTTTTAGATTCCAACTTCAAATCAATCTTTCACTATAATTAAAATGGGTTGATAACCAAATGAAACCAGAATTCTTTAGTAATAGTTGGTGGATGAAGTGCTTTTTAAAGGTTGAACCCCAATCTTGAGGGTTCTCATCGTCCCGCCCTCGACGTATCGTGAGGGAGTAAATTACAGAATGTGTCCCAGCAAATCAAGGAACAAGAGCTTGTCTTTACACTAATATCCACAAAGAGTCAAATTCTATATCTCAGGAATCGAACCCTCAAACTGCGACTGCTAGTAAGGTTGAGACTACCTCACTCCTGTCCTTTGCACCACTGGGATATGCCCCAGGGGCAGATGAAGTGTTTTTTAGTTTTTATACATGTGCACCGAAGACCAAATCAAGTGCTACAATAAGTAAAATTTTACTCCTTTTTTTTTTTTTTTAAATTTAAATATTGTCTTATGTTGTACACTTCACTAAATACCATATTTGAAGTTCATAGATTGTGGGTGAAGTTTTTTAGATGATTCTGGATTTTCGTTAATGGAGACTTAAACTTAAGAAAGTAAATGTTATATGTTGAGAGTTGAGATGAATGTTGAAATGGCACAAACAAGAAATAAAAATTTATTTTAGTTTTTAACCCTCTTAAAACTGTTATATCCATTAGTAACCAAGCTCGAAACCTGAACAAATTACCATATCCTGGAAAGGAAAGCAAGAAAATAATATGCCATTTTCTTTGAAGGAGAGTACTCCAATCAAGGAGATTCAGTGAGTCATTTTTTCTAAAAGTGATGAGCTTTATTTTTTTCTCGTCTTTGGATATTATTTAAGCTTCACTTGATAAAACTCAACATTTAAATATGTGATTCTAATCTCATCTCATCGATTAACGGAAAGTTCAAACATTTACTTTCTTTTTTTGGGATTCCGTTCAATATTAATATATTGTTGCAATTTTAGAAGTTTAGACTGATGGATCTCCAATTTTTAGAGATGAAATTGGAGGATTTTGCACAATAGGAATTGAAGGTTGATCGTCAGTCTGGCAAGTCAAAGAATGAAAACAAGGTATTTCATCTCTTTGCATAATGTTGACTTTTCATTAGTATATTCAAAAATTATAAAAATAAAAATAAAAACGAGAAGACAAAGTAACAACGATCCAATAATAGAAAGTAAGGCAACAATGATCTAACATTTACACTAGCAAGGTAACAAAAAAAAAAAATGTTATTTGGTAATAAGCTAACAAAGTAGAAATACGCCAGCAAGGCAACAACGATCTAATAATAAAAAGATAAGGCAACAATAATCCAACTTTTTAAAATTAGTACACTGGCAACATTCAAAAAAATTAACTTGAATAAAAACAATTAGGAATTGGCAATTAACAAATAAGCACCTACTTAGTGAGTGTATTCAAAAAGGAATTTTGCCACTTTGCTAGAAAAAATTTAACAAAATTAGTGACATAATCAAGGTGACAAAGGATAAATTAATTAGGTATATATATATATATATATATATATATATACACACACTTTTACCGATAAATTAATTAGGTAATATGCAGTATGCTAAAAGAAGAGTTTAATCGTTAAATTTTAAATACCATAAAAGGAACCTACGAAGACAAAAATAAAATAAAATAAAATAAACACACCAAGTAATATTTATTCGCCAAATTCAAACTAAATGTCAACCAATTCTGCATATTTTTCTTTTGATGCGACTCCTCTCCGATTGAGTTAAAACCTTTTCGTATTATTTCATTACACATATTTATCATTTTTATTTAATAATTACATAAAAACAGCTTGAATTGGAAAATTTGCTTTTGGACATGTATTATTGAATAAATTAAAATATTCTTAAACACAAATTGGCCTTTAGTACACACCACAACTATTTCACAAAATTACCCTCCTAGAAAAGGTGAAAAAGAAAGAGAAAAATTCTTCTTCGTTACCAATCCACACCCTTGCCGACAACATCAAAACTTGTACCACCCCATTCTCATGACACCAAATGTGCTGCCACCATCAACATCAGTGACGGATTGAGTGAAATAAAACATCAAACCGCAACTATGGTCCCCACAATTACTATGTAAATTAAATCATAAATCTATAGTCTCACAAACCTTACCAAGATATAATACTGTGGTTAGCCCCCCGGGCATAGCCCAGTGGTGCAAAGGACAGGAGTGAAGTTATCTCAAACCTTACTGGCAGCTGCAGTGTGGAAGTTCGATTCCTGAGACATGAAATTAGACTCCTTGTAGGCACAGTGTACAAACAGCTCTTATTCCTTGACCTGCTGGGGTATATCCCGCGATTTATCTCCCTCACAAAACTCTAGACGTGGGACGAGACGGTAAGTGCCCTTAAAATTGGGATTCAACCTTTTTTATAATACCGCGGCTTGATTTCCTCCACTTGCAAAATTGGTCCCATTCTCTCTCTCTCTCTCTCTGGACAAACAACCTGCAATTTACAGCCTCTTGTGGAGCATTAATTTTAGGAACAAAAGAGTTAGGATTTAAAAGCATGAATCCCATTTAAGAACTTGTTTGCCATCGGAACAAAGATTGGATAATTTGGATTTTTCAACATTAATATACTGAACTGTTGATCAAGTTGATCTTATTTTTGTCTTTATGGGTTCTATTTTATTTTTAAATAACTGTCCCACATATAAAAAGAACTTAATCCTACGAAAGGACCATGAAATTTACACCCAAGTAAGAATTATAATCTAGTTAAAGGCAAATTTTAATTTTAACCATACTATAGTCAAAATTATTACTCATAATTATTAACACATTTCGTGATTTCCACCATTGTTCTGCTTAACTTATTTATTTTTTTAAAAAGTTACTAATAATCTTTCCCGAATAGAGGATAAAAGTAAAAATAAAATAGCACATTTTTTTCTCAATTATACTTTAACTATCATTTATGCTACACCATAATTACAAACTCAAAATCAAATTATTTTTAGTAAGTAACTTTTTTTTTTTTTTTGGAAAAACAAGCGATGTACAAATTGACAATAATAACCTTCCATTTTGTTCACCCATCCTCGTAATCTTGATTAACTTCGACTCCATTAAGCTTCCTGGCCTGTTTGATTGTCCTGCCCAATTTGTTCACGCCGAATATGGGCCGACAATAGGCCCAATAAAACCATTTTCATTTGAAGTCCATAAATGAGCCCAAATATATATTAGCCTTTGCTCCACAGAATAATCTTCTGCTCTTTGCTTCCCTCTATTAAACAGTTAAAAACATTTGGAGGTAATTGTTCTAATGGTCATTGAACTTAAGTTCATGTTTTGATTGATCACTGAAGTTTAAAGTGTTGAGTTTTGATAACTGAACTTAGGTTCATATTTTCAATTGCTCACTGAAATTTAAAATGTTTAGTTTTGGTCACTAAAGTTTGAAATATATTGTAAATTGACATTTTTCAAAGTTCTACATTTATGCTAATGAGCAACGTACAATATTTTTCAAAATTAGTGGCCAAAACTAGACATTTAAATTTTAATGAGCAATCAAAGACATGAACCTAAATTCAAAGACCAAACCTCGATTTTTTAAATTTAAGTGAGTAATCAAATACATATACCTTGTATACATTGGCATGAAGAGGGCTGCTTTGAATGTGTTTCGCGCGGGTTCGTCGCTAACAATTAAAAGGGATCAGACGATTGTGTAAGGGACAAATCTCTTGAGACAAAGTCCCAAAAAGGGGTGTTCTTTTATTGGCGATGACTTTACAATTGGAAATTAAAAACAGAATGCCTCCAAGGAGCGCAAACACACGAGTTACTGAAAAAAGTGTTTAAATCTAAGCTAAGGAATTTAAAATTACATGTTCTCTGTTCGAGAGTTTTTGATTCGGTCCCTTTGCTCTATGTCTTTCCTTCCTTTTATACTCCCTGGATGATCTCTTTGTGATCAACCGCCTAAAAACTGTTGGATCGTTCTATAACTGCCCACTTTCCTCGTAATGGCCAACTTGTCATGGAACTGCCTTTTTTAACTGCTGTCATTACTCTTCGTCGTTTAACCATTTTCGATTGAATTCCTTGAATCGTGGGACGTGATAGGGCTGCTTTAATAACTACTTTGATAACTGCACTTCTTGATAACTACAACACTTTATGTTTGCTAAGACCTTGGGCGACTCGAAGGTTTGGGTGAGAATAGAGTAACAG